GCTTTGAAAATGAGAACCAGCAAATGGCAGCAACGCCTTCAAAGCCCTGACAGGCAGCTCAGCTCCCCGGAGCTTCCCAGAAGCTTTCAGGGACCCTGGGGGCAGGTGGCGGCGCCCTGGAGACCTGCACGTGGGTCTGTGGGGAGCCTGCAGCCCCTTCCCGGTCAGCTGCACCTGCTGCAATCTCGAGTTTCCAGCCAAAGCCTCAGAGAGAGTGTGTCCCAGAGAAGCAGGCCTTGCTGCCACCCAGAAAGGCGACCGGAGCCCAGGACCAGAGCCACAGCTGGCGCCGTGGCACCCAGCGTGGAGGAGTGTGGATCACGGACCAGGCCCCTAGCCCCTGCTGGCAGTCCAGGCAGGAGTCTTCCCAGGAGGGCAGCCTGAAACTGAGCCCTGGAGATGGCGTCTTCCCAGCAGGTTTGGGGTCTGCTTCCCCAGAACTCCCCACTGTGCTTAGATCTTAGGACTGACCCCAGGTACCAAAGCCAGCCCTGCTCAGGACAGCCTGGCTCCAGGGCATTGGGTCCAAACCTCAGGCCACTGGAAGACGGAGCTGACCGAACCTCCCTGGACACGGCTCCGCAGCTCAGGGCCATCCATGACTCAGCCTGGTCTGCATCAGACCCTCAGGCCGGGTGGTGGCCCTTGCCTCGCTGGGCAGTGAGGTTGCTGAGATGCAGCGGGAACAGTTCCTCCTGCTGACCACAGCTGGCCCTGGACACTGCAGACCTCCAGCTCAGCCTGCTGGAGGGCAGGACAGACTTCCAGAGCGGGGCTTGTGCTCCACTGTCCTACTGACACACGCCGCTGTCCTGAGGAGCTGGCCAGCCCGAACTCTGCAGGACAAAGGACCAGCTGGGCAGGAGCTTCCGCTCAGACCGAGTGACCAGTCACCCCGGCCACAGAGCTGCGTAGCTCACAGCGCGGCCCTTCGAGGCCAGGCTTTAGCTGGAGTTCCACTGACCTCCTTCTGCGATTGCTCCCTGGCGTGAAATCATCGGATCCAGGACTCACAGTCCGCCCTCATAAGGGGCGTTCACAGACATGGAAAATGCTGGAACAAAGTGTGGAGACTCCATGAAACACTGGCGAGCTTAGCTCGAATATCCTGAAACCGCAGCCACCTCCTCACACTCCCCGATTCCCCGGAGGGGTTCACCCGGCCTCTCCCCTTCCATTAATCACAGTCTAAGGGGATTGCGTTCTGACCAACACGAGAAAGCACTCTTTGCTCAAAGTGAGATGATTCGGGCTAAAAACAGTTCCCAGCGTAACCGATTACCTTCTGATAATTAAATGACAGCTCAAGGCAGTTAAGTTAAAAAGCGAGGAGACTGGAAGACGTGCTGGAGAGCAGCTCCCAGGCCCGCAGCCCAGCACCTGCCGCGCCCAGCCCTCAGCGGGAGGTCGGGGGAGCGTCGGGGCCTTGCCACCCTGCCTGACTTAGGCCCCGTTTTGTCCTTGAAGCACCTTGTTCTAGAGGCTGAGGCAAAGGCCACGCCTTCCCCAGGCAGACCCCATTGCCAGCGGTGTCTCCCGCCCTGGCCTGGGTCTTTCGTCTCCGGGTTCCGCCATGAGACATACGGCCTGGCTCTGGGAGGCACCCAGGAAATGAGACAGGGAGGCTGGGGCACAGGGAGGGGGGAGAGGGAGAGGGGTGAGGAACTGGGAGAAAGCGAAGGAGGGGGGAAAGGAGAGGCCTGGGCCCAGCGCCGGAACCCGCAGCAGGGCTGGGACCCTCTGCTCAGATTGGGAGCCAGTGCTTAGCTGTTGGGGCAAAGGCTGAGGGCTGGGGCTGGGTGCTGAATTCCGGGCCGAGCTCGCGGGGCCCCTCTTCTGCTCTCTTTCCAGAGTCGTCACCCTTAACCATAAGACGGGCTTTTTCCTGACACATTTGCATATGTTGAAGGTTGTGTGCATATAAACATAACCTTAGGCTAACACGTGCGTCTTGGCTTTTTAAGGTAATACGTGTTTTAGAGACATAGGTCAGAATAGGAGCAGCTCAGCACTTCAGCCCCACGCAGAGGTGGTGACGCATTTCTGCGCGTGCTGCCCATGAGGTTGACTTTGCGTTCCCTGCCGCGCACGCTCTGATGTAAGCCCTCTCCGTGGCCAGCCCACCAGGTTGAAGATTTTGTCTGTTTTGCTCACAGCTGTGTCCCGAAGGCAATGTCCGACCTGTCACAGCCACAGCAAACTGTGGAATGCGTGTGTCCACAGATAGTCCTAAAATGGAATGTCTGGGTCCGTAGCCGTGTCGGCGGGACACAGATCATTCGGACAGAAATCGTGCGGTTGCCTCTGTGGGCTGTGCACCCTTGTGCTTCTGATAGGAGCAGATGTCCCACTCCGACACCCCCAGCCTCCACACTCCTGCCCCTCCCTCCCCCGGGCCTCCACACTCTTG